CAACGTGCCCAAGTGGGCTAAATGACAAAGAACAAAGAAACTGGCTGACGAAACAATAGAAGGATCTACAGGACAGCCAATAGCCTTGGAGAGGATTTTCTCAGCAAAGTTTCGTAAATATTTAACTAAAGAACAAACAACGTGCAGTGTGCAAAGGAAATGGATATTGCAGAAGAGAACAATAGGGAAAAACAAACTAATGTATATGTGGATCTGTGGGAAAGTGAAGTAAGGCAGGGACAGGCCGGTGGAAGCCGGTCATATGGGGGTGAAGTCAGCAGAAGAGCAGTACTGAAACTTGTCAGTCATGTTCCTGAAGCCGAAGAAGACAGACCGAGCATGAAAGTCAAGCAGGTACTTGGAAGACAGCACCAAGGCATATTCTAATGAAATCCCTGCCCTTAAATACAGCTCAGTCTGTAGACCAACAACCAAGTCAGTGACAAGCAGAAGAAAAGCAGAATTAGAAAAGATGAACCACGTGTGCACGTGTGTGTGTCTCTCTGTGTGTTCACATGTGTGTATGCATGAGGAAGCCAGAAGAAAACCTCAGATATCCTTCCATTAGAGCCACCCTTCTTACCTACACAGAACACGCAAATGTATGTAGTGTATGGTTTTGTCCTGTGGGTATGTGCTTCTGTACATGCAAGTGTATGTGTATATGTATGTACATATGATTATGGAGGACAGAGGTCAGTGAGGTCCTCAGTTGCTCTATGTTTTTTGAGGCAGTATCTTTTACTCAGTTTGAAGCTCCCCAATTTGGCAAAACTGATTCTGGGAATAACCTGTCTCTGCCCTGCTAGCACTGGGGTTACAGCATAGGCTAACACTCCCAGATTTATGTGGGTCCTGGGGATATTAACTCAGGTCCTCATACTTGGGCAGCTCACATTTTCTTGACTGAGCCATCTCCCCAGACACAGTGTTTTGTTATTGCTATATCATAATCTCTTACTGGTCTAGACTTCACCAAGGAGGCTAGGCTGGCTGGCCAGTGAGTCCCAGAGATCCACCTGTCTCTCTCTTTCCAGCACAGGGATTAGAAGTAAATGCCACCACACCTAGGTTTTTGTGTGGGTTCTGGGATTCAAGTCTAGGTCCGCATGCTTATCCAGCAAGCACTTTACCAACTGAGCCATCCCCTAACCTTTGACAAGAATGTTTTAAGATGGCAGCTTGTAAATATATTTAAGAAATGCAGGGAAGGAAAAATGCAAACAAAAATTTTAACCCCAAAATGATTTTAAGGATTCAGAGTCACAAAAAAAAAATTAATAGAAAGCATCCAGGCACCAGACTGTGGTGGTGCACGCCTGTTATCCCAGCACTTGGGAAGCAGAGACAGGGAGATCTCTGTGAGTTTGAGGCCAGCCTGGTCTACAGAGATAGTTCCAGTACAGGCTCCAAAACTACACAGAGAAACTCTGTCTCATAAAAACAAAAACAAAACAAAACAAAAATCCAGGCATTATTTTTCCCATAAGTTCTTTCTGAGGAATATGCAGGTGAAATTTTCACCTCAGTTGAAAATGTTGTTGGAGAAGCATCTGCATAAGAACTAACTGAATATTGGGCTAGGTTTATTAGGTAGTGCACATCTATAATTGAATGCTAGCACTGGGGAGGCTGAGGCAGGAGGATTGGATAGTTCAAGACCAACCTGGCCTACACATTGAGAACCTTCCTCAACCCAAAAAGAAAAAAAAAGCTAGATCAGTGGTTCTCAACCTGAGTCTCCACTCCTTTGAGTATCGCATATCAGACGTCCTGCATATTAGATATTTATATTATGACTCATAACTGAAGATGGATGTTATAAGTAGTCCCGCACTAGCTCATAACTGAGTATAATAAAGAGTTCTTTATTCAGGGATAGACTCACAGATCACAGCTCCCTGCTTGAACAGGGAACAGAAACTGAATCCAGCACTGGAGAGAGGCAGAGCACAGGCAAGCTTTATGGCTGCATTTATAGCATAAGAGACCACACCCAAGTGGGCTGATATCTTAAAGACTATTGGCTGAAGGAATTCTCACAGCACATAACAATAGCAAAATTATAGTTATGAGGTAGCAATGAAAATAGTTTTATAGTTGGGGGTTACCACAACATGAGGAACTGTATTAAAGGGTCTCAGCATTAGGAGGATTGAGAACCACTAGGCTAAATGAATGGTGTCTGCCTGATCACATAGCATATAATTGATAAATGTTTTACTAATACATATGATAATTTTAAATGAAGAATGCAAGCATTATAAAACCCTAGCCCCATATTCTCTCACTAGCCCAATACTTGGCACTTGGGAGTTAATTTTTTTATTTAAGTGCTTGGTTTTGTTCAATCAGTTTGCAGTATCTTCCTGTGTAAACAAATTCTCCTGTCATCTTCCACGGTAGGCACTTGTCTCCACAGATGCCGCCTTAGTCATCTGTTCAGTGTTTGCCCATCAGAGAACACACATAGTCAAGGAAGAGTCTCACTGTGAATGGTGGGGGCAGCATTCTTTGCAGTTCTCTGTATCTTCACATGTAAGCTGAAATTTGACTTAAAAAAATACTGAAAAGAGCAGTGGCCCAGAAATTCCTTGTCCAGAAACAGACTGTAAACATTTAAATCACCTGTGTTAAGGGCTAGATTTAAAAAAAAAAAAAGATAATCGCAACATTCTGATACAAGAAACAACTCCCAGCAGTCAAATGAAAGTAAAGTATGGGATATTAATATGCTAACTGGTGCAGAAAGGGTAATGAGTAAACTATGACGATATGAAACACCATGAATGAACCTTTGAAACCACATTCAATGAAAGAAGGATTAGACACTTTACCCAGCTGTGCTGAAAATGTAGATCGGTGGCAGATGACTTGTCTACCAAGTATAAGGACTAAAATGGGCAAAATGAAACCATTAAGATAAAAACAAAAGAAAATAACGTATAATGGGTTATTTTACTCAGTTGCACTGAAGGCACTGGAGACATTTTATTGAGGCAGAGGCTGGAAGGTGTCATGTGGGGGCAGCTGCTTTGTTATTATTTGACCGGAACGGGAGGCTTCCTGTGTGTTGATTTTAAATAATTAAGTTCTGTGTTTGAAACAGTGTATAATAAAAGAAATCGTGTGGCAATGCATTCTTTAGGGCTGATATTAAAGAAAATCCCACATCGTTATAACTACATATGAGTTACTTTCAATTTTTAAATCCAAGTCAATTTAATCTACAAATACACAATTCAGATATAAACAAGTATATGTTCAAAATTCATTCATACAGGATACTACTATTTTCCTTCTGATTGTACTGGTGAATTCTTACACACTTGTAAAGCAAACTAACAGACTTTGGTGGCCTGTATGCTGTCTGGGTATTTCCTTTCACGTGGCAGCAAGGTTGTATAATCACAAGAATATTGAGGCGGTGTCTTCCCTGCTCCCCTTCAAAGCCTCCATGGGAGGATGCATTACCAGGAGTGCATTGCCCCAGCCCACATTCTCAGCACTGCTTTAGCAGTAAAGACTCATCATTTTAATTTTAGGAGGACCAGTATCTAACATTAGACATGTGAGTTCAGTAACTGCCTTGTACTCCAATACGATTTCCTCAGTAATAAATCTTCTGAAAACAGTAGCCATACTGGCTCTGGTGGCTTGGATGAGAATGTCCCCCATAAGGCTCATGTTTTTGAACTCTTGATCCTATTCACTTATGTCTAGACCCATTAGTTTCTTCGCTGTATATAATACTATGTATATGTAACATTATTTTGGCAGTTTTAAATGAAATCGCTAAGATCACTCACCTGTCCTATTTTCCTGTCCTAGGCAGTAAGCTGAAGCAAGAGAATCAAGGGATCCTTAATTACTACCTTCCCAGCAAGGACAACAGCTGGGGAAAGGTGATGCCCGAAACCATGTACTTGCATGCACTAACGATAGGAGAGGACTAACGATGGGGAGGCTGGGGCCCAGGCCGTGGAATCATGCCTAACATTATGGGGCCGTAGCACATTGATGTTGCTTTTCAAATACCTTTAGAATTTAGTTGCCTTTTATTTCTGCCCCTAAATCCCATGATTAGTCTATGTCCACCGAGAGAACTGGTACAGAGACCTGCCTGCTCTTGGTTTCTCAATTACCTATTCCTCCAGCTTTCCCCTCTGGCCCTTCTGATCCTTCTGTCCTCTAGTGTGAGCCCAGGGGACATTGGGAAGCAGAAGGAGTGACTTCTCTGGGTCGGGGTCTGGAGGGAACTTGTCAATGGTGACTGCATGTTTTCTGTTGCTGCTGAAGGTGTTTGGCATTCTGGAGAAAGCAAAAGAGGAATACAATTTAGAAGACTATTCCATCAGTCAGATGACCCTGGAGCAAGTCTTTCTGACCTTTGGCAACCTAAATAACCCAGAAAGTGATTATGCAAAAGCAAAAGCGGTGCCTTGAGATTCAGTTACAGCCAGCGATTAGGATGTCTTCATTCAACTGTACTTGGGTCTGGACAGGGGCATGTATGTGTATGTGTATATATATATATATATATATATATATATATATATATATATATATATAACTTTGTGTAAATATATTCACATAATAAAGATTTCCCTGTTGGAGAACATCTATCCCCTTCATTATAGACTTAGATGAGTCACTTTTGAATTTAGTATGTATGAATTTAAAGCTGTTGGTGAAATATTCCCCTTTCCGTCCTAGAAACAAGAAAGAGCAGCATTTACCAGGGTGGAGACAAGGTCTTAAGTATTCTGAGAACAGAAACACCCAAAAAGAATGGTGGGACAGATAGGACAACGTGAAGAACAGTCACACTGTGTTCTAGAAGCTGGTGTGTATGGGAGGAGGATAAGGCCCCAAGACAGATCATCTTTCCCGGGACGTTCACATATTCACGGAAGCACACAACTGATGACAAACCTTAAACGGCCAGTCGAGTAGTAATTTCCCAAAGTCAAATCAAGAGTCTTCTCACCGAGAACATGCAAAGTCCAAGAACAGAAAGAAAACATTTTTAATAGTGTGTTTTGAGCTACATACACTTATAATTCTATCTTTAAGAAGGACAGGGTTTCCCAGGTCCTCAGCCTCTTATCTAAAGAATTAAAACCAAGGACTCACATAGATTTGCAAAAGTAGGAAGATAAATCATACGAATGCCCAATCACGCATAGGCATAAGATGGAATTAGTGGATTCTCTCTGAAAAAACAACAAACAAAAAACCAGCAACAAAATGCCATCGAGAAGCCAATCTACGTCTTATAGCTGTAGCAACAGTACAGCTTTCTTTGGGTTTCCTCCAAACAGGAACATGAGTGGGTCTTCCACTGTCCACGCTCCATGACTGCATCATCGAATCGTCTCAGGATCAGAAGGTAGGTTTTGCTACTTAATTTTTGTCATTGAGATTGGCAGGTGCTCAAAGATTTGACCAAGGTTTCAGGTGTACCGGTCACTGTTCCCTTTGAGAGAAGATGTCACACTGTAATTTGCACAAAGTTTAAAGAGTTACTAACCCTGACTGTCGCAGAGATTTTTTTCAAACAGGACCACTCCCGAGTGCATGAGCTGCCTAAACTGTGAAAACAGCTGTTGGGTCTGGGTTGTTGGCAGGTTTCCACGGAGAAGCAGGCAGCTGTAGGTGGCTCTGATGATCTTGGACTGTGAGCGCGAGGGAACGTGGTACACACTAATAAGGGCGAGGGAACGTGGTACACACTAATAAGGGCAGGTGCCAGGCCAGAGCCAGAAAATTGCCAAAGAAGACAACCAGAGAGAGACGCTTTCTGCGGTGTTCCCACAGCGCCCTCTGTTGACAAGGCGTAACGTCACGTTAGTTCCTGCTGCTCTGGCGCCAAGACTCAATAATAAATTCCTATTACACACATCAGGGGTAGAGAACTTGCCGTGCTTGCCAGAATTTAGAGCCTGTGACTCTAACATGAAGCTACGCTGGACGAGGGTATCGGGATGGGGTACAGCCAAGAAGAGTGAGCATTCGTGAAATTGCACCGCGGAGTCACGTGCTGATATAGAGGTGGGGTCGGCTGGGTGGTTAACAGGCAAGTTAAATTCCGAGGAAGTGGCTGGGCAGTCTAAGTGCTAGGGCAGCTCCTGCTCACAGGCGCAGGGTTAAGTCAGTGCGGACTCGGGAAGAACTGAGAAATGTGGCAATTGATCCGGTCCTAGGGAGAGCGGGAGAGACCGAGATCGACGTGGGGGAAGGAGCGTGGGAGAGGGGGTGTCAATGGAACCCTATGCTGCTGGGATTATGGACAACCCCACGTTTTGGAAAGGAAGCAAAGGATGATGCGTGGTGGGCTGAGTAAGTAGTGGGTGATGCTGAGAAGGATTTGGAGCAAGCAGAGGTCTGGGCTTGGGCTCCAGGCTCTGAGCTCCAAGCTTGGCTTGCTCGCTCCTCTAGCGCCCCTGCTGGCCCCTCACCCAGCTACTGTGTGTGCCTGCAGCTCCCCACCACCCCTCACATACTGTTTCCCCCAGTGTTGATGAATTTAGGGAGCAGGAGAAACATATGGTCGTGGCATATGCTCCATGGTCCTGTTTTCCTGGTTCCCGCTACTCACAGCCCATCATCCCCTGTTCCTTCTCCAGCTCGTGCCTTGGTCTCCTCCCCCTGCTCCTGACTCTCCTTGACCGTTCACCGGTCACTGTACTTAGCACGTGACTCTGCCCCGCTCCCCCGCCCCCCTACCTGTACTTTTAATTGGTTTGCACGAGGCCAGGTCGCAACCTTGGGAAGGAGAGCACTTCCCTGCAGGACGGTTGGCTAAGGCACTGGGTGCAGGACAATCCTCTCCAACTAGGCGGTCTGGTGCTTTTCAGTGGATAAGGTGCTAGGGGTTAAAGTTGCTAAATTGGAGCCCTGGTGGTGAGTCTTCCTGCCTTCCTTTGTGTCCACTGCTTTCGGATGCCCTGGGAGCTTAATTTTCCTTTTTCTTTGTCTCTCTGTTTTTGTCTGTCTGTCCTTGTTTCTCTATTTCTGTTGCTTCCCATCCCCTGCAATTTCTTATTTAAGGAATGAGGAGAATAATGCCAGGACCAGAGCTCAGGGTACAAGGTCACGGGAGGTTAAAGGCCAAGAGGCAGGATGCTCCATCAGTGCCCACTGAGTTGTAGATCAGCCAGATCTACACGGTGAAGCCCTGTCTCAAAAGAGGGAGAGAGGGAGGAAGAGAAAAAGGAAACTAGCCGCACGTTTTCCCTTCATCTGGAACACAGAATAGAAACGTTTGGACTGTGTAGGGTTTGGATGCAACAGCTCCTGAACTTCACCCTCGTACTCGGTTAGTTTTGTTCGTGCTTTTCTAGTTCCTGGCGTGTTAGCAGGTTGTTTGTTTGAGAGTCTGGGATGTAAATTTCAATCCTCTAAGCTTTCGTGGTAGAGAGATTTTTGCTGCATCTTGTAAGTTTGGTACGTTGTTTCTGTTTTCATTTGTCTCAAGATAGCAGTGATTGCTTTCTAAAAATGTCTTCACTGATACCCTAGTATGCTGTCTAATTTCCATTTGTCTGTGAATTTTCTACAAGTACTTCCTCCTGTTATTTATGTCAAAGTTTCACAGCACTGTAGTGAGAAAAGATACATGATGCAGTGTCCATGAGCGTCTGTCACAGCCTCCTGAGTAGTTAAAATTAAAAGTATGTGTCTGTTTTAACTAACACAGATATTTCTGTACTCTTTTGGTTTCATTTTCTTGGGATATATTTCATTTTTAACTTCTGTTATGGTCATGTGATGTATACACACAAATAATAATAAATAATTATTTGAAAACAGTACCAGAGATTTTTCTAGTAATATGGTGATGTTATATTTGTTGTTGTATTCCAAAATATTAAATAGTTTACTCGAGCATCATTTTTCCAGAGAATATTTGTGTGTGTGTGTGTGTGTGTGTGTGTGTGTGTGTGCGCGCGTGCGTGCGTGCGTGCATGCACACATGTGGGCTTGCACATGCTGACAAGGTTCCTGATTTGATTGCTGTGCCTGAATTTGGATTACACTTCCTGTAATTGACAGTCTCCCTCAGATTCATCCTCACCTCACTTAAGATTAAATAAAGCTTTAATCGAATGACTCTCTTTTATGACTCTGAACTCCAGCTCTTGGCCTCACGGCTGCCTCCCCCCAAATTTCTGCCAGCTGTGCAAGGCTGTGCTCAGTGGTGGGAATCTGGACCTACACACTGATTTCAGCTAGGAAGAGTAATGATAGTTGCCCAAGTGAATGAAATCCCTGACAAGAAGCTGTGTCTGGCTGTGAGCAACAACAGCAGCAACAAGACCTTCAGGAAGGATTCTTTGTCTGCAGAGACTGATAGACCAACTGGGATTTCAATTCCAAGAGGAGACTGGAATTCTGTAGGTTCAGAAGCTGTACCTTGGTCTGGTGTTAGTCTCCAGGGACCGTCAATAAACTGATACCTTGTGATAATAAATAAAAACCTTTTAGAAGCTATTAACTTAGTGGAACACTAGTTTCCACCAATCCAAGAGCTAAGAATGTCACCAGATAGCATCCAGGGCCTACAAAATAGTTCTCCCCATCTGGTCACACCCACCTGTCTGGTGGACCCACCAACGCATCTTAAAGTTGCCTTGATTTGAGACTTTCATTGTTCTGTAAAATTCTAAAAACCCTGTAATACTGCTTTCACATTGGAACGTGAAATTTGGGGTAACCTAAATCTGTGTTCCTAAGTCCTGGTAACACAAAGTGGCTCCAGATTGAGCTATCTCTTGTTCCTGTTAAGACAAAAGCTGCAGTTTTAACCTTGATACCTGCCGTGTCATCTACTCCATAAGAAATGGATTTCATTTTTCCAAATTATACATATGTACCAGTATAAGCATATAGTAGATATAATATTCATTAAATTTAATAATTAATCTCCTCATAGTTCTTTGGCTGCTACAACAAAATCCACAGGCTATGTGACTTGCAAATGGCAGAAACTTTTGGTGGGTTTTCAGGAGGCTGGAATGTCTGGAACGAAAGTACCAGCAGATCCAGTGTCTTGTGAAGTCTCTTTCCTGACACACAGGGGGCTCTAATGTCTGCATGTACTCACATGACAGATGAGAGGAGAGGCTGTCTCTGGGGCTTCATGTACAGGTAGCAATCCCACTGATATCACCACTCAACATTGCCATTTCTAAATAACATCATCTCTGCTGTTAGGATTTAGCTTATGAGTCTGGTAGGACATAAACATAAATGTTCAGTTCATTGCAAACCTTTCCCCTTAGCACTGCATTGGTGCTAACCTGAATATTGGCGTAAACCTGAATAACAAAGTAATTAATTAATTAATCTTTGTTTAGTGCATGACATTTTGTAGATGTTAGGACCTCCACAGATACTGAATGTATTCTAAATGTAAGAATATATAACTACTCAACTATCCCAAGCAATTATTTTAAAAGTGTATTAGAAAGTGAAATGAGTGCAATTTAGGTAATTTACTTGTCTAAAGGTCACATGCTGCTAGATAATAAATTTTTTTGCTTTAAAACTTTTTATTACTTCTTTGAGAATTTGTGCAATGCATTCTCATCATATTTGCTTCCTCCACCAATTCCTCTTCCTCTAGTCACTCAACATGGTCCTCTTTTAATTTTTTTTTAATTCATTGAGTAGTTTATGCTGCTCATATATGCTTGGGTGTGCAGTCTTCCACTGGAGTGTGGTCGATGTACCAGGGGCCACACCCCTAAAGGGCACATCAATTACCAATACCTAGTTGGATGGGGTGGGACTTTGTGTTCACCTCCCCCCATGTTGGGCTTTGATCTAGCGCTCACTTTCCCAGGTCTTGCGCATGTTGTCATAAATACTATGAGCTCATATGTGTAGATGCCCTGTTGTGCTCCGAAGACACTGTTTACCTGTAGCTGTGCAGCGCCTCTGTTCTTACGCTCTTTCTGTCCCCTCTTCCACAATGTTCCCTGACAGAGATACAGATGTGGTCTCTTATTCTCTGTACTTGGATTAGCTGAATGTCTCTGTGTTAATTCTATTTACAGCAAACAGATCCTTGTCTGATGAAGATCGGGAGATGGATTAACAATCTATTATAATGACAAGCCATTAGTAGTCAGTTTAATACTGTGTCCATTTAGCAGAATAACAGTAGTAGGTTCTCCCTGGGGGGTCCATGATCAGTCTGACCACAGAGTTTTTGGCCATGATAATTATGATAGGTATAGGTTTCATCTTCTGGTGAAAGACTTAAATCAGTCATTGGTTAGTCCCATAACATTTATCATACTCCCATAACATTTATTGTATATAGTATTGCATACAGTATTGTATATGATATTGTACTATACCAGTGGGCATATCTTACCATGCCAGTTATTACTGTAGCTCCCAAAGTTTAGAGCTGGGTGAGACTAGTGATAACTTTTCTTGCTCCAGAGAACCAATAGCGTCTTCCAGCACCACAAAAGCTAGGCAATTAGGGATAAAGCTTCCAGATGAGAACCAACTTGATTCTTTTTTCAGGTTCTCTAGCTCAAGGGTGCAGTGCCTTCAGAATTATGGTTTTACAGTCAAGTTCTGGAGTGTAGCCAATAGCATTGGCAATAGCCTTTAATATTTGGAGGGATGTCTATGGGACCTCACTGGCCAACAACTCCAAAAGTTATAATTTCATTCTCTCTCTCTCTCTCTCTCTCTCTCTCTCTCTCTCTCTCTCTGTGTGTGTGTGTGTGTGTGTGTGTGTGTGTGTGTGTGTATGCTTCTACAGTAGCATGTAGGTCCCCATACAACATTTCTGAGGTCTTTGGAGTTATTTACCTCTCCACTTGTTCCCTCCTCTACCCTGCCCTTCCATCCACTACCCAAATTTAACCCTTCCTAATCCAATATTCCCCTTTTAAGTTTTTATGCCGCCTGGTGCTCTCTCTTGCCTGTTGAAACTCCTCCACTCCCCCCATATTTCCAGACCTATAATGGGTGTTACAAATGAAGCACCCATATCTGAAGATTCGGGTAATCTTCATTTTCTTTTCTTTAAAAACATGTTTACATCCTCCAGAGTTGAACTCCCACTCCATACAGAAGAATGGCTTCACTGGAGACCAAAAAACTTGTGATTCTTCTGTGGAAGAACTTTACTTTAAAGGTAAGCTGAGCTCTGCATAATGTTTTTGCAGCAGCTCAGAGACGGCCAACGCTAATTCTCCCATCGCAATCACTGCCTTTTAATTTATACAGTTTTATTTTTCTTGGTTCCAGGGTTGGGGCTCCCTATTCCAAACATAGAATCTACACAGAGTGAGGCAATAGCAGAGTATTACATAGGAGAGAGAAAATAGCAGTCTATTAAATTTTTCTCTCCCAGAGTAAAGCCTTGCTTATTGGTCACGTGAAGTATCTGAACAAAGTATCTTATTAACTCAATGCATACAAATTGCCATTTGTTAAATCAATGACCTCTTAGAAAAGCTAACATAATACTGTTCTTCTTTAATTCTTTTAGAGGCGGAAGTTTGGGACTTTGGTTACTGAAATAGTCCTGATGTTTGTATTCAGTGTTGTGCTTTTGGCAACACGCAAGCTTCTTCCTATAAAAAAGATTGAATCTGTCCATTATCCTCATCAGTCGGTCCGTGATGTTCCTTCCTTCATCCATGT